CCAAGAAGCATCTGAGTTTGCCTAGTGCTGGACACACTAGGACATAGCTAAAGTCTCTGGGAATGACTGTTCACTGGCAAATAAGCACATTCTAGCAGCAAATAAGCACATTTAGCCCGTGGTTTAAAATGACCAACCAACTTGAAGACACATAGTGGTTTTTGAGAAGTCTTTGCATTTATGTAGAGGAAACCAAAGAGTATAGTTTGGTGTTAAGAGTTAAGTCTGAGATAAAACTTAAAGACAAATTGATAATGAATGATCAGTAATACTGGATTTACAAAGTCATGTGTATACTCCATTCCCACATATTTGAACAAACATAATGATGCTCCTCTAAATCCCAAGTGAATGTAAGTAAAAAACCTATATCACCTTACAGACTAAGACATTCAAGTAACAACAATTGTACTGCCCTGTAGGCTATGGACAGAGTGCAGGGTCCAGGTCACATCTAGTTTGATGATTTAGTCTAGAGTATATGTCAGGTGAGTCGACAGAACATCAGCAGAGGCCATCCTGAATAAAATACATTAAAAAAAAATGCCAGCTCCTTAGTCAGTGAGGCTCTGCTTTTAGTCCTAGACATTAAAAATAAAAAAGAGTGACTGGGTCTTGATAAGGATTTTGAAACCTTTCTACCAGACTACCAGCTCCTCCCATCTTTGGTACAGCTTTTTTTTTTAACCACTACTTGGTAATAACTTTCATTACTCAATACTTTACCTAACACACATCCCTTGAGTGCCCACCAGTGTCAAGAGCCCTACTAAGCTCAGAGTTCCACTGTTAAGTGCTCCTGCCTTCTGCAACAAAGAGACATGACCCAACTGTCCTTTCTTTCTTACCCTCCACCCCACCTGCCTTCATTCCTAGGAAGCCCAGCAGAGAATTTCGGAGTTTCCTAGTTTGCAGTAAAATCTGGCTAAGAACATTGCCCCAAATAATAGTATTTGTCTTTAGTCCAGATACAATGCTTAATTTCAAATCAGATCTCTGTTGCATTTCTACTTTTTTCTAAGGATCAATAACCCCATTACTCCCTATACTACTAAACCTGCATGGTGCTGGGCATGCCGTGACAAATGTGCTGTTGAATGCTCCATTTTCACAAGCCCTTTGCTGCCTAACATCTCCAATACCAAATCCATTAATCTCTCCCACCCTCCTGCTTGGCTCCAATATCCCTAGTGTTCCCAAACACCTTGCCTCTTAAGCTACAATCTAATTCTGTGCTAGTCACCTTCAACCTGTGTCCAGACACAGGTGCTATTCGTTCTCCCTCAGACATTTGTCCTGAAAATGGAGCCTCTCCACACCAGCCTGTGCCTTCACTCAGGCTCGGCTCTCCAATGTCATGGTTCACTTCTCTGGAAGCCTAGTTACTTGGCAAAACAAGCTGGCTTGACATACTTCTCTGGCTGCATCTGGCCACTGGCCTCTTACCACACCCTCTCCACTCTCCACCCCTCACCAGCTCCTGGACATGCTATCACCTTAGTCTTGCGTCCCTGCTCCCTCTCTGCTTGGTATTTTTTATTATCCTCCCTCATTCCTTACCCTCTCCCTTTTTCTAGAGGGCAAACTCTTTCCCACTCTATGAATTCAAAAGTATCACCTGATCAATGAAATAATCCCATGACCCAAATCAGAGTTTATTTTCTTTGTGGTAGTTTCATTTCTGCTCTGTTACAGTAGCAATACTAATTTTTAGTGCACGTGCCTCATTTTCCCATTAAATGGTAGCTCCTTAAAGTGCAAAGGTCCTGCAGTGTCTTTGCACATACTCCCTTTTGGCACCCATAGTTGGTAGGCCAGACAATTCTAATTCAGGCTAATAAGGGCAATGACAGGGTCGCAAGTAAAAAGCCCCATGGGAACACACAGGAGAAGCACTTAATCCAGTTTGCAGAGGCTCAAAAAATGAGCACAGAGTTGGAGAACGGGGAGGTATTTGGGAGCCACAGCTGGGTGGCATGTTTTAAGTGATACCACTTTGGAATTGATCTATGTAAAGAGTTATTAAAGGGCTTTTCAGAAGGGTCATGACTTCAGACTTGTGCTCTAGAAACATTCCTCTGGTTCTAATCTGATAAACAGATGGAAGGTATGTTGATGGTTTTTTTACTGTGTCAGCTTGGCTAAGGGAAACCACATTTACATGGATTCCCCTTCTAGTGTGGTTACAAATTAGAGTTATCAAAGAGAGAGACCTGCCCAGACTGGAGAGAGGAAGTGATGCTCTGCAAGTGGGAGGCAGAGGTACCAGTACCCCCTGACTCCTCCTCACTCTCCCCTACATGGCCACCAGCTCTTTCCTCACCACCTCGCTGGACATCCACAACCAATGTGCAGTGACACAATCTCTTCCCGTGCACACCCTAAATTGGAGATGGCTGGGGTCTCAGACTCCTAGGCAAGATCCCTTTGTCCCCCCCAGGCCAGGGCTCCCGAATCCTGTTCTCTGACCCTCTGACCCTCCTTCTGTTTCTCTTTTAATTAAGTTATAATTTATTCCTATAAAAAAAATCCTTATTCCACAGTAATCATAGTGGTTTTGCTTCCCTGATTGAATGCTGTCTAATATATAGTGGGGTGAAAGTAAAGAGGGAAATGGAAGCAGAAAGTTTCTTTTCTTATATGCCTTGTGCTAAAATGATAAATTAAGACTAGATATTTTAAATAGAAACAGATATTTTAAAAAATAGATAGCCTCAGTAATACAGACTAGCTCTGTTCCAAAGAAACAGAATGCAAAGGATGAATAGTAAACTAGTTAGCATCACAAGGATCCTCTTAGACAAATCAGAATTTTTAAGAAACAGAAAAACACCCAGACATGTTTACTTTTCACATTATCCTTCTCTGCAGAGTTCTAAATTGTGCAGCTACATATTGAAAGTCATCACGTGGAAATAACATAAACTTAAGCTATGAAAATGACTTTCTGTTCCTCTTTAGTGATTCCCTATTCTATATAAATGCATCCTTTTAAAATTAGTTTTCTCCATTTAATCCATTTGAGTCTTTTCTGGTTTCCAAGACAGCTGACTTGCTGTGTTAGTAGTGTCTCTCCATGATATTTTGTGAAATCATGGGATTTTCCGAGTGAAAGTATATTTTCCTTTGTAATATTTTGTTTTCATTTTTTGTTCAACTTTCCTATGCTGCTTCTAAATTCCGCCAGGTTACTGATACTTATTTTTATTTTAATCCTGAAGTCACCCACATCCCCAAAGTATAAACCTTTTCAGTGTTGTATGATATGATTTTCCACCTCCCTCAAGAGGTCCTTCAGGGCTCAATTACCAGTTTCTCTTGTACTCAATAAGTACTCAATAAAAATCTCTTGATTTGGTAAATAAACTGTATTTATTCTTAGAGGGAATCCCTCAATAATAATTTATTCTCATTAGACACTTAAAGTCTTTTTTAAGAATGCATTTCTTACACTGCTTGACAAATTGAATTAATTATTTTGGGTAATTAAAGTAAGTTTTTCCCTGAATTATATCATAATAACTAAATCAGCATAGGGCACAACAATGCATCTCAAACCAATTCTTTGTAAATAGAAGATAAACTGATGGATGAAGATGAAGATAAATGAGCATTTATCCTTAGCTTGGCATAATCTCAGTGGCTGTGAGGGCAACCTTGGGCTGCTTGCTGGACACATACCTTGAACTGCTTTCCACATGTGGAACACAGGATCTTTTGCGGTCCGAGTGTCTGAGCATGTGGAGCCGCAGTTTGTCCGGCCGGCAGAAGGCCTTGTCACACTCTGTACATTGGTAGATCTTTTCTGAGTGGAAGCTTCGTACGTGTTTTTTTTACCTGGCAGCAAACAAGAAAAAAAAACAGGGTTCTTGGGCCCAAAGGAAATGTTGTAAAGCAACCTATCAACGCTAGAGGGAGCCAAACACATTCGCATGGATCATCAACTCAGTGGCTTAATCCAGTCACGTGTGATAAATGGCCTCAGTAAATGGACTATTCTGAAGAAACATGAGTAGCCAGGAAGCCTCAGAATCTTAACCTCCCACATGATTTGAGGAGATGGAAGAAGTGCTTAGTCAGAGCCTTGATCACATGGAACCCATTTTTTATTTATTTTTTTAAGATTAAAAGCAGAGTTCTTTGGATTTATTTAAAAGAATTTAGCCAAAAATTATCCATAGGAAAACAGAAAATAATTCTTTCTCACTTTTTCCTGCCCTCAATATGTATAGAGGCAATTTAGCCCTTTAAGTAATTGGTCCTTTACATCATCTTTCTATAAAAAATGGTTTTTAAGAACTAAAGACATGAATTGGTTTCCCATTTATGAGAATAATAGAACACTAGCATCACTTTTAATTGGGACTGTACTTTTAAATAAACTTAAAGAATGGAAAGTGGCCTTAAAAACCTCTTAGTTATAAAATATCCAACATAAAAAAGCTGTGGATGGTGTTAGTAATGAGTTATATCTAACTATTGCTATAAGGAATTTTGCACCATTATCTTTGGAATCTCTTTTGCCATTAGAGTCCATCTTAAGGCAACATTTCTAATTGTATAAAGTGAGAAAATTATCAAGATTCCCAATACTAGCAAAACTATGTTTGAATCCTAATCTTTTATTTCAGTAATTTAAGAAAAAAAAAGAGAGAGTCATTCCCCAAAGTCTCTATCTTCACCGAATATTCAAATTTACTTATTCATTGACCAGTATATAATATCACTTGAAGTCCAAATGAAATCATGAATATTCTGGAATTCTTCCTTGCCCATTTTGTTCCAGAATATAGTACAAGGGAGCCATTCAATGCTTGATACAAAAGTATATTATACACCAACTTTCTATTTGTTTCCTTCCAAAATGCATGACCGAAGGCAAGAACAAAAATTATAGTAGCATAGAGTAAAAGTTTCCAGCCCAGGCAATAGGAATGTATCTTCCACAGGATCTATATACATTATGAATTGTGGATACTGGCAAGGATTAAGAAAGATTTGAAAATTTAGAACTAGATCTGGGTGTTTTTTACATGTACTGCAACTTAAATGTTTATATGCCCATATCTGACTTGCACAATTAAGGGTTACCGTAATCTTTTGCTTATCAAAAATGTTTGATTAAAGAAATATTCTCAAAAGCAAAGTTGTTTCAAATATCAGATGGTTTCACTTAAAGGAGGAATGTAGGGGAAACAAATAAGACATTAGGGGAAAAAATAACAACAATACAAAACACAACACAACAAAACAAAAACAATTATAAACCAGAGACATCCTGCAGGGGAGGAGGAGGGAGAGGGATCAGAGGGAAGGAGGGAGGAGCACAGGGGAATGAGGTGATGGTGCACGGGTGCACTGGGGAAGGAAATTCTATGGGGACTACACCTGAGGGGTGGAGGGGAAGCAAACATTGTTTATAAATGAACAATGATGCAAAAAAAATTAATATTAAAAATGTTTTAAATAAAAACTATTATGGATAATAAAAAATTAAAAAAAATAAATTAGAAGACCAAAAAAAAATTTTTTTTAAGTAAAGTTGTTTCTAAGAAGAGATGAACATGTGGGTGGAGAGGAAGTCTCACTTTTCCAAAATTTGAAGAGTCTTTATCAAAAGTCGGAAGTCTACATGATCAGTGATAGACACTTACCTGGATAAAATCTGGGAACCGTTTCTTGCAAGTTGGGCAGGTAAAGTAGCCATCATTGATATGAATGGCCACATGATCTTTCAATAAATCAAGGCGGTCAAAGGATTCTGGGCAAAAAATGCAAGAGTAAGTCTTCTGATCAGAATGGAGCTTCATGTGGTTCTCCAGCGATGTGCTACTGATGAAACCCTTGTTGCAGAGATCGCAGGTCAAGGGGCAGTTCCCCTCCCGCCCATGGAAGCGCAAGTGCTGGTCCAGCTTGTCCTTTTCACGGAAGGCCTTTCCACACTGCAAACATTTAAAAGGCCGGAAGGACTTCCGAATAAACAGATGCTGAAGAGCTGCATTCTGAAAGACAGATACAAGTATGATTATTTAGTGGTTCACACATTTATACAAAAAGACTTTTCATAGAAATTGAACTCTGGAACACATACATGGAAGATTTTTCTGGCAAAGAGATTAAAAATGAGGCTATTTCCAAAGAAGTCTATCTTGAAAAAAACAAACATTTGGTGTATTTTGTTTTAAGACTTAAATATGTGTTGTTTTGTTGGGCCTCCCGGTGGCACAGCGGTTGAGCGCTGGGTTGCAAGGCTGCCCGTAGCCTCTGCAGCGCTGGTTCGATCCCCGGCCACCAGGCGAGGGTCCCACATGGCGCACAGACCTCTTCTGCCACCCACTGCTCCCCTCAGCAGTGTGCTTCATCTGTCTGCCTGTTCTGCTCTGGCTCTGGTGAATTCTCTCACCCTCCCACACTTCTGACTGTACCCAGTGCTTGTATAAATAAATCTTTAAAAAAAAAAAAGTGTTGTTTTATTCAGAAAGGATTTAAATAACATTCAAAAGCATATTCCTAATAAAGGACTGAATGATAAAGCAAGCAAAGCCAGGCCTCCCCGGTGGCACAGCAGTTGAGCGCTGGGTTGCGAAGCAGTCCGCAGCCTCTGCAGCGCCAGTTCGATCTCCGGCTGCTCCCCAGCCACCGGAGGAGGGTCCCACGTGGCGCGCAGACCTCTCCTGCCGCCCGCTGCTCCCCTCACAGTGTACTTCGGTCCTTCTGCCTGCTCTGCTCCCTGCTCTGGCTCTGGTGAATTCTCTCACCCTCCCGCGCTTCTGACTATACCCAGTGCATGTATAAATAAATAAATAAATAAAAATAAAAAATTAAAAAAAAAAATAAAGCAAGCAAAGCCCAGAGTGGAGTAGAATAAAAATTGAAAATTTGAAAGAAATGACTTGCAACAAGTCACAGATGTATGAGTGACCCTGGAGCTAGTCAGCTCCACATGACTTGCTAAAGTACTTGAGAAAGAATTTGAAGCTTGGCTAAAACATTTGGCAAACAGGGCCTCTCTGGTGGCCTAGGGGTTAAGTCTCAGTGCTATCACCACCTATGGCCTGAGTTCAATCCCCAGCCAGGGAACTAACCCACATATGTCACAGTAGACCTCTCCTGTCTCACCCCGCTGCTCCCCTTGGCAGTGTATTTCAGTAAATCCAGCTGTTCTGCTCCCCACTCTGTCTCTGGTAAATCCTCTCACCTGCTGTACCTCTAATCTACACTCCAGTTCTTCTACACACACACACACACATACACATACACACACACACACACACACACACACACAATATTTAGCAAACCAAAAAGATCATGAAAAGAACAGAAGGGTAGTACTTGCCAGGAGTTGGGGAAAGGAGGCAATGGATATGGGGTTTCTTTTTAGGGTGATGGAAATGTTCTGGAATTAAATAATGGTGATAGCTGTGCAACTTTAGGACTAAACCCTTTAAGGATGGGTTCTATGCTGTTTGAATTTTATCTCAATTTAAGTAAAAGTACTGAAAGCAAAATTAAGAGCATAGTTTTATGTGAAAGTTTGTTCAGGGGTACACATTATAAATAGAATGTGTTTAATCACTTCCTACTTAGAAAATGCAGAGAAGTTCTCAATGTCGGTAGTTCGTTACACTGGTTAGAAGGCCATGCTAACAAATCTAAGCCTGTCACTTTGTCCCCTTGTCTAAACCAGTCAATCTTACCCTTTTTTCAGACACAGATTGCATTTCTAGTGCTGATTAGCTATCTGTTAAATTCATGCAATTGTTATAGGGAATCTCAGTGAGAGAATATGGCCTCTCCATGCAAATTCACCACTATTACTGGAAAAACAACTCACACTCTACTGAGAGCAGATCAATAATCATCCTTGACACAGAGCATAGAGTCAATATTTTAGTTATGCTATAATGAAGACTCATTTATAAGTTCCTCAAAGTTTCAAAGTATAAAAGGGAAAGTTCGAGATAGGTATGATGTGGACATTCCTGAAAAATATATCTATGAATGGGTGTGCTTATACTACTACAAGCGAGAGTAACTGAAGAATAATTGAGAAGCTTAATGCATTATTTGTGAAATGATGAAAGCACAAGGAACAATGCTTAAATCCTTAATTTCAAACCATTTACAAGCAGCAACTTCTAAACTAAACATGATGTAAAATAATCACTTAGTGGAAAAGCAAAATAATTATTTTTGATTTAGTGAAAATTCTAAACATAGTTGCTATATAATTGAGAAATTCCTTCTCAGGGCTTTTCTCACAAGATCAGGAGCGATATTTTACCAACTCATTTATCTTGAGTAGGTATTTAACAATTCTTTTGTCTTCTCAAGACAACCGGGGCTGGGAAGGTTGGGGCTGCTTCAAGGTGACATTTTAATTTTCCTTTGTATTTAGATCCCATAACAAAGTGCTTAGCTCATATGAAGTGTCCAATAAATTAATTCTCATTAATTCCTGAGAATTAATGAAATATATTTCATAAGAAAATTTAAATATTTCAAGATCTTTGCTATAGCTCTGCAGAGATCTTTAAGAACAGCGCACCTCTCAATTAGCCGCACAGCCTTCTTTCACTCCATTCCATGGGTCAGCGGTCACCTGCTCTTTTCACTCTACCTGGACACTTTACATAAAAGCTCTCACAATTTGTTAAAAGTTTACAGAAATATTGAAGGTGACAAATGTTATCTTGAGGTTTGGGCATGTAAGAATCATTTCCTTTATCCAAATTCAGTCAAGTTTCCAAGGGTAGACAAAAGGCACAACAATTGATCTTGGTCCTACTGGGGATTCAAGGTTTGAGTGCCAAACCCTGAACTCCGCTTTACTTTGGTCCATTATGCTAATCAGTCTTCTGTCAGCTCTGATTAGCATGAGTATCCTCAGACACTTGATTTCAACTCAGCAGCCACCTGGCTCTACTCTCTTTGTTCTATCGACAAACTGTGTCCTTATCATCTTTTTAATTTCCATGGAGCCCTGAACATTGTCTAAGTACTCGAGAACTAGATTGCATTTCTCTGATCTAATAATCCTAATGTAATCCTCATATTACTCAAGAGTGAAAGTGCTGAGATGGATCCAACCCTGCCACCCACTTGCAAGCTACTCTAAGATAGCTTCTGTAGTTTAGAGCTATAATTGGTACACATTTCTAGAAGAAACCATGAAAAATGGTGAAGGCAGCACAAAGAGATCTACGATGGCACTTCTGAATCCTGAACTATAGTCAGTTAATGATAGGATTCTACAGGGAATATAAGCTATTCCAAGGAAGCCAAAATGGTATACTTGCTAATATCTGTAATGAAGGATTTGGGTCATGTTGAAGTGAATTCTGAGAAAACAGATTCTTTACAGACCATGACCATAAAATGTTTCCAAAGTTTGATATTAATACCTAGATTATTGATCAACGTTCATCCTATTTTGATCTTGACACTGAAAGGAAATCAATCATGTTAGCTTGTTGGCTTTTCTTTCTTTTATGCAACTTTACTCTCACCTGTTTTCTGCCCAGATTTCAAAGTCCTTGGTGGGTCAGCCCTGCCCAACGTACTCACTCTCCACTGTCCTTCACTAGGCACCCCATGCTGGGGCCAAACTAGTATGTGCACTGTCCCTCACCCATGCCAAGCACGTGCCTGTGTCCTGGCCTGTGATCCCATGACTGTCCTTCTCTGAAATGATGTGCCTTCTTCCTGCCTCTCTTTCAAGGACAGTTTAAGTCTCACTTCATCTCTGAATTATTCCGACTCCATCTTTCTTTGCCTTTCATTCTTCCAATTTTCTATTGCAATTATAGGCTCAACGTTTAAATTTAGCATCTAAATATAAACCATCTTACATTAGCATTACCTCCCTAATTAGAATGTAAGCTCCTAGAGGACAGCACTCAACTGAAAATGATACTGTGAACCTAGCACAGTGCCAAACACATACTTAGGAATCAATACCAATCCATGAATCACTCCACTCGTTTTACAGCTGGAAGGGACCTTGGAGATCACTTAGTCCTGCCCTTCATTTTGTGTGTGAGGACTCTGCAGTCCACAATTTACTCACTGGTCTATCTGAAAATAAATGATGGTTATTCATTAACTAATTTGCATTTACTGTAGCAACCAGATTGTCGTTTCCACCAGGGTTTAGTAAGTACAGGTTGCAAAGAACAGCAGGTCAGGCAAACACTTAAATAACGTTCTGTTATGTGAAACACAGGAAACAAACCTACCTGCAGCTCCAACTGAGCAGGCAGCATTAGAGGAGAGAAAAACAGTTACATTACCAAGTGGATTGGAAGACTTCCCTTCAGTTGGTCATTACCAATCTGGATAGAAAAGATGGAAAATACATAGCCCTACTTTTTAGAATGTGTGAGGAGGAAGAGGGAAAGAGCTCAACTATGTCTGACCTCCAAAAACCATGACAGGTGGCTTCTGCCTTGACACAGGAACCAAAACCAGGGAAGCAACAAGTACAGGGACAGACCATGCTGGTCCATCCATATCTGTACTACCTGTGTGAACTTCAGTGTCTTCCTTAAAAAAAAAAATTAAATTTAGGAGGCATTTCTCTGGACTAAGTGAAGGGTCAGAATGTTCAAAGCAGAAAGGATAGTACTTGAGCGAGAGAATGAAATGCGGGCTGGGAAATAATGTAGAATGATGAGCAGGAAGGTCTTTATTTTTAGTTGTTTGCCTTTCTGGTTTAGATGTAGGTGTGTATATACATGCTTTTGAAGTAATATAAATAGAGTCAACATTTTTATATTTCCATCACAGGACCCTCACTCATAACGGAGATTCAGCCTCAGAGTTTTTTGCCCTCCAATGCTATCTTGTGACTATAAATGTTTCAATGTATTTTAACATGAAGGCACGGACTATTTTTCAAGGTCCCTTCTAGCCTATAGGCAAATAAGATCAAAAGAAACCTACACTAAATCAATCATCCATTTAGAAATTGTAAAACCTGGGAAGTTAAACAAAACATCTCTTCCACCTACACATAACATGCTAACAGAATAAAAGTCTTTATATGTCCTGCTGCCTCTGATGTGGGTTTCAAGAAATTGTCTTCTGGATGTAAATTGTCAACACAGGCCCTCAGCCCACAAAGCACACTGTTCCCTACGTGCATCCCCTGAGCTCCTAACTCAGACTCAACTGCTATCTATGACACAGAAATAAAGCACATCTGCCCTAGAAGCCGGGGAGGCCCCGCAGCCACACAGCCTGTGGTCAAGATGCAGGTCACACACAAGATCCTGACTGACCCCCCCAAACCTAGCTCTCAACTTGCAGCCGCCCCCAGGTACGTAGAGAGTACCTGAGACATCAACCTGGACACAGATCCCTTTGCACTGATGAGTAACGACACTGACCAGTCTCCTCTTGGAAACTGTAGATAACCAAATTCAGATACCCAGAATTAACCTGACAGCTATCATTAGGCACAGGTTAGCCGGGCCTAACATGTAAATTGTTATAATTAAATGTACTAATTTCTCCTTTTCCCATGTGTAAGTTCAGAGTACCAGAGAGCTATCCTACTTGAACAATACTAGCCCACGAACTGCCCAAAGCCAGACTTCTGTGTCATAAACAAACTGATCAAATCTGGACCAGTCATTCCAGCCTGCCTCACAGGCACTGAGAAATCGTTAGTACTTTCTTCCGAGACAAGGAGCCTATGGTAGGCTAGATGCAGGATGTCCAAGTGGAGAGTGAGTAGACTGGAAACACAGCACCCAGGAAGCTGTCTGACTGGAGGAAGGCCAGCACCTACGGAGAAGGGGCCCTGCCACCTACTTACTCGGATGCGTTTGGCCCTGCGCATGTCGTCGGCAGTCAGGGTGCTCTGTGTGGGCAGCACGCTCTCCTCATGCTGTGGCTGCAGATGCAGGCTGTGAGTTTCTGGCTCCTGCTCCAGAGAAGACGAGGTCTCCTGTGGCAGCTGAGGGATTGGGAGGGTGGTTTGTTCCGGTTGATCCAGCCCATTCAGAGTAGCGGGTTCAGTCTCATCAAACTGCTCCTTGGTGGAAAAATGTAGCAAGTCCTAAAATGGCAATCATCAGGAATTATTTCCCTAGCTAGACAGAGATTAGTGCTAGAAGGAATGTCAGCTAAGATTCAGAATTGCTGCTTATTTATTTAAATGATGAGAGTCAGAGTTCTCAGAAAAAATACTCTCCTGCTAGGAAAGTTAATGAGGTAGCCATCCTCAGAATGTACATATTATGAGATAGTCCAGATCACTTCATGAGGAAAAAACTGTGACAGGACTAAGAATATTCTGGAATGATATCATTTTCATTGTTTAAAATTATTCAAGATTTCCCCAATAATATCGCTGAAAAATTTAAAAAAATTTTAAGTCAACAAAACTGAGCTCTTGTTGATATTTGAAAATATATTGTCTTTCTCTAATCATACTTTAGTTAACAGATGGCAAATCACCGACATGACAAGTGTTTGTATTTAAGTCTAGCAATAGTTCTGTTAAGTTCTCCAAGCAAACATCTAACCAGTAGCTCCTTCCCATCCCCCAGTACCTGTGTCCCATCATCACACTTTTCCCCATTTTCACTGGTTATTTCCAAGCGGATAAATTTGGGGGGACGCCCTGGCCTTCGACCTGGGCCAAATCGCCTCTTGCCTCGTCCCCTTCCTCGGCCTCTTGCTCTGGGGACAAGAGATTTGGGTTATAAATAATGGTCATGGTTGCATAATACTCTGTAACAAATATTGCCCTAAGTGATCCTGAAATCTTGATTTTCTCTCACTGTATTACTTTACCCAATTCATTTCTCTAATAGAACTGTTTTGCTAATACATGCTTTCTAAATTTCTCACCATTCCCCTCTAGATATCTCAAATATTAAAATGTTTTTTTAAAAAAGATGAGGAGCTTTTGAAATTCAAAGCATGATGCCATTTGCTACCAAGAATTCTAAAGCATAAACACATCTCTGAAATGACATGAGAAATGCAGACAGGACAGAACACGCTAAGCTCTGGCATGTGTTCTGAGAGACAAGATCCCAATCTTTCCTCCTTCCCCTTGCCTCACCTCATATTCCTTTTTAGAAATATGGCTAGATTCAACAGCACTTTCTTGTTTTACTAGAAGCTTCTGGAAAGTCTGAACAAATTTCTAATTCAATTATTCCACAACATATCTAGTAAACACCAAATAAATGTCAGTTCCTTTGCCTGGACTTCTAATAATCAAAAATTCCTTAGTAAAAAGAATTCAGAAAGTATGTCATTAAAACCTCTTTTAGAAGATGTGTGTGTGAGATGAGTATACTTTAATCAGATCATACTTTATTTTTCCACTCACCTATTTAGGCATTAAACAAAAGTTATGGGTTTTTTTCCCCAGGAACTTTTAAAAGATTCTAATTGTGGAAAATCCTGAACCCAAGCAAATGTAGAGAATAACATAATGAAGCCAATTTCAACATTTACTAACTCATGGTCAAGTTTGTTCCCTCTATATTCTTATGACCCCCCCCCCGCCACTACCACCACACGCATACTCCTCAACACCATTATCATACCTTAAAAAAACTGCTATCCACTTAGTAGTGTTAAATCTAGTCAAAGTTCAAATTTTCCTAATTGTCTCCAATTTCTTTTAATAGAATTGTGGTGCAATGAATGCAGCTGGAAAATGGCACACAGCCATGCTGGTGGTTTGGCTCTAATCTCATGACCATGAACCTCAAGTGAGCTCTTCATGTTGCAGGCAACTGTACAGTGCTCCTCTAGAACATCTGTTTTCCTGCCTCCCTAAATGATACTTCTCACCACCACCTCTTTCACATCCTATAAAAGTTGACAAATGTACACATGTCCCATTTCTACTACCCTATTGCAAGCCACTGTCATTCTTCACCTAAACTGTTGAAATAGCTTCGAACTGGACTCCCTGTCTTCATTCTTGCTCCAATATTAGCTAATGTGATATTTTTATTTTTACCCAGAGTGATGATTCACAATACTCCCTGATCAAAACCCTTGAAAGACTTCTCATCCTACTTAAGATAAAATCCTACCTTCACACATAAGGCCCTACCTGACCTAGTTCCTGCCGCCCCCATTCCTGAATGAGTCTTCTTCATCTATCTTTGTTATATAGTGAAAATAAACACAGAATTTAGCTTGATAAATGAGTTCTATTACTGAAAAAAAATTGGAAATCAAAAATGTAAATTATTTCGAAGTCGTTTGCTATCTCAAGAATTCCTCTTTCAAAATCTCTAGATAAGGGATATTTAACTAAGGTGAAAGGATCTCCCATTCATAATGATAATGCTGAAGAAGAGGACCAGGGAGTAATAGATAACCTCTCTGGTTACCTACCTACCTACTACTACTACTACTACACACACACACACACACACACACACACACACACACACACACACACACACACCCCAATGCTCACTACCTTATAGACCGTTCAGAAATAACTCTGGACTTTTAAAAAATAAACTTGTGAAATTATCCCCCTCCTCATACCTGCTAAACACATCCAGTTTCTCATCATGAGTATTGAGATGCTGTTGCAATTGCTCTGAGCTTACAAATCGGCGGTTACATTCGTAACAGGGCCAATTCTTCTCTTGCTCTCGAAGAACTATAGTCACAGGAGAGAAATCACAAAGGCTGATGATCAATAAACACCAATAAGACTCAAATGCCCAGTATTCCCACCATTCTCATCTCATTATGTTTATAAATATATAGCAGCTGCCATCTACATTGTTACTTTGTTACAAAAGCAAAGGCAAACGTTTGACAGAAAGGTGGTAATTAGAATCTTATTTTCTTACATATTCATGTATGACATCAAAGGAACAAATACCCTTGTACTATTATACTACTCTCTCCCACCCAACACACACACATACACACACACACCCCCCAGCATACAACCTCTCCACATTGGAAAGACAAAAAATACTACCATGGAAATTTGTATTCAGATAAATACTAATACAGATCCAATAATAATCATAATCTGAGGTGCATTTTATCACTAACAACTTGAAAAATCAATGCCCAATACAATCACTTTAACAAAATGTCCAGCGGTTTATTAAAGCTGACTGTATGCATAGCCTGTGACCCAACAACTCAACTCCAACTCTGAGTCCCACCAAAACATGCACATAGGTTCACTAAAGGCATGTGTAAGAATGTTCACAGTGGCATTCTTCATAATATCCAAAATCTAGAAACAACCCTGTCAAATAATAGATTGGGCTGGGTCTTGTCCCTGGTTCCTGGGAGATAACCTCTAAATCTTTGGAATTTCCCAAGTGATAAGAGTGTCTTTACCATTTATGGTGGTCTCTGACCAGACCTGAGTTTAGGCTAATGAGAGGACTCTGGATGGGAGTTGTCTGCGTAAGAAACCCAACCAATGACTGCAGGATTGGGGCTTTGAGCCAGGTGATATCACTCAGGAAGGGGAGCAGAAGCTGTAGGGTAAGTGCCATCACAGGGCCAATGAGTCCATTGGTCATGCCCAAGTAATGGTGCCACAATAAAGCCTCTGGGCACTGAAGCTCAGATGAGCTTTCCTGACTGGTAATCTTACATCAGTGTGCCAAAGAGGTGACACCATCTATGGACCTCCCAAATCTTGCCTTCAGTGAGTCTCTTCATTTGGCTGGCCCTCATGTGTATCCTTTAAATAAAACTGTAATGGTAAGTACAACACTTTTCTGAGGTCTGTGAGTCACCTCGAGAATTATCAAACAAAAGGGTAAGGGGACTCCTTAAATTGTAACTAGCTTGTCAAAGTGCAGGAAGTATGGGAACTCCAGAGCTTGACGCTGGTGACTGCCCTTAACCTGTAGACTGCGACCTAGCTCCAGGGGGTTAGGGTGAGCATTGCACTGTACAACCCAAATTTTCAGCTACAGTACATGAACTGTGGTGCATTCACACAACAGAACACCCAACAGCAGTGAGAATGAACAAGGGATGAATCTCACATACATAATGTTGAGCAAAATATGCCCACACACTAAAAGTGTACATATATAATTCTATTGATATAATTGTCAGTAACAAGCATCTCATATCTGTGGTCTTAGAAGTCAGGAGCCAAGTCATACTTGGGAGTAAGAGGGAGTCAGAAGTGGGCACAAGAGACTCTGGGGCACTAGTCATGCTCTGTATCTTGATCTGGGTGCAGGTTCCACAGGTATGTCCACTCTGAATATTCAGGCTATTGACACTTGCTCTGATAATTCTGTAAGCAGATTACACTTAGATAACATTTCCATCAAAGACTGTCAACGCCTGCCTGCCTTGCTATGTCCTCAGCGATCACAACCAGATAGGATCATCCTCTAATCCAGGTTCTAATTTAGCATTTGGAGGTTTTCATTAAATTAAGTGCTATTTTCCTGTACTCAGGGAAGAAATGTAAATATATGTCATTGTCATTTGATCCTAGAATTTGACAGAGATGTGCAGCTCTAAAAAACCTACTGGAAAAGCCTCTTAAATACATTGAGATGGAAGAATTAGAGGTTACATATTGAATACATGCAATTTAGAATTCATATAGAAAACATAAAATCTTTAAAAAGTCAACCACCTTTCCTTTCTTCCTCAGAAATGTCATGAATTTTCTGGTTCACAAACTCAGCATAGGATGCAGCGTACCAAACCTGCAAGAACCAAACAGATCATCAAGAACTACAGGATGCACCAGGTGTTCCTAGCATGCTTAAATTCTTTATCCTGCTTACAAAAACAATTCAGGCTTTTCCACTCCCCACAAAAAAACAAACAACAAAAAAACACCCCACAGTGTGAACTGACCCCTTTAACATCAGTTTGCTGATGGCCAGTCATGAAATTCATTTGCCAAGAAACACAGCATGATTTTTCCTTTAAAAAAAAGTTTTTGTTATTAGAACAACTCCACAAGAGATTACATTTATAGTCTCTTCATCTAAATAAAACAGCCTCTTCTGGTTTTTTTTTTTTTAATCTGTATTTCAACAGAGGTTTTTACACAGCTATAATCCCAGTGGCTTCCACACCAACATGCCACCAAATAACTTTCACTAGGATCACCAAGTATGTCAAATGCTGCCACCACCTGCTGAGTGTCTTCCTCCTAGCCCAGTGACTGACTCGTCTGGCTCTTTTTCCTCTCCCTGATTCTAAATTTTGGTGGTCTTCAAAGGTTAGTCCTAGTCCAGAGCATTCTTATTTTTCCTTATTTTAACTCCACCCATTTCCAACCAACTCTGTGCTAAAGGCTCCCAAGACCCTCCATCCCAGACCCTCCTTCCTCTCTATTCCCTCTATGTACCTGCTTCCGCTTACCTGATATTTTGAATGTTTTACAAATTGCTCAAATATCCAGAACTGAATTCTAGACCTTTCCCTTATCACACCCCTGCCTCTCCTAGCCATCTCAATGAACACCTTACTTCCACCCAATTGCTCAGACTTGAAACCTCAAGGGTATCTTGATTTCCCAGTTTTCTTCCATAATCCTTCAGCAAGAACTACTGATTGCTCAGATGTTCTCCATCTCTACTTCTCTCACCTGGATGCGTGCCAAGATGAGCAGGTGCCTGGAGTTCTACCTGACCTGCTAACAAGACCTTTCTTTTACACTCTTGCCTCTGCCAACCCAGAGTGGTCTTATTAAAACACAATCAGGGGCCTCCCTGGTGGCGCAGCGGTTGAGCGCTGGGTTGCGAAGCTGCCCGCAGCCTCTGCAGCGCCGGTTTGATTCCCGGCTGCTCCCCGGCCACCAGAGGAGGGCCCCACATGGTGCGCAGACCTCTCCTGCCGCCCGCTGCTCCCCTTAGCCGTGTACTTCGGTCCTTCTGCCTGCTCTGCTCCCCGCTCTGGCTCTGGTGAATTCTCTCACCCTCCTGCGCTTCTGACTGTACCCAGTGCATGTATAAACGAAACAAACGAACAAATAAATAAATAAAAACATGCCTCTATAAAAAAAAAAAAAAACACAATCAGATTTCGTCATTCCCTAGCTTAAAAGGCAGCAACAGTTTCTCATTTTATGATAAACCTGAAGTGCTCCAGGATGGTCTCCAAAGGGTTCCGTGATCTGCCCCTACCTCCCTAAGCAATTAAGCTCTTACCACACTCCCTTGCCTGCCCTTCAGCCAAAAGGCCCAGCTGGCAGTATGCCAAGTTCTTTCCCACCTCAATCTCTGCCCTTGCTGTTTCACCAGTGGGAAAGATGGGTTCTTCATCTTCACCCCTCCCCTCACCCATCTACATCACTGACCCCTTTATTCCACAGTTCTCAGCCTAAAGATGTATCTTCTGCAAGGCCTTCCCTATCCATCACACCCAAATTGGCCCCTTTTCCTGTTATTTCCTTTTACATTTCCTTTGTAGCATTTACGACATTCAATATTTGCATTTACATCTTTCCACCCATCTCCCTTCTACAATATAAATTCTCTAAACATAGGGAAACCAATCTCACTTTTCCTAGTAACTGTAGGAGTTCAACACATTAATCACTAAGTGAATTAATCATACATAACTGTTATGGAACATTAACGATATGGAAATATAGATTTACATTGGAAATATTTATATTGAAAACATTTATTTTTAACTATGGAATAATTTCTATGGCATCTACATTCTGTAATTTACTTAATCACAATCCTGTTGGTTGGATTTTTATCATCTTGCAAATATAAATTCTACTCAATTCCATATTTCCAATATGTGTCTATTTCATATTTTCACATTTCAGAAATCAGAATGGGTCTCACAACCCAGAGCATTCTAGTCACTGCCATAATGTACTTCTTTTTCTTTTTAAGGATTATTTATTTATGCATACAAGAACTGTGGTACAGGCCAGAGGTGTGGGGGAGTAAGAGAATTCACCAGAGTGGGGAACAGAACAGGAAGAGTGATTGAAATACACAGCTGAGGGGAGCAGCAGGCGAGACAGGAGAGGTCTGCTGCCCATACGGGTGGCTCCCTGGCCGGGGATTGAACTCATCCGCAGTGGCTGCGGATAGCTTCATAGGTTGTGTCTTAACCCATTGCGCCACCAGGGAGGCCCCATAATGCACTTCTAACTGCTTCCTCATTGTTCCTGCACCCACTTGTGCAAGCCTTTTGTACTATTCTCACTTCATTCAGTTCTGCCCCCTATTGACACCCCATGGTTGTTAACACTTGTCAAGCAACATAATGAGGGGGCAGGGAGGGAAACTGCCATCTTCCTCAGAATAAATAGAATATATTTCAAAGTAATTCAAAGCTGATGTGATCACCCAGCAGGAATTCTCATTAAGATTGCCAACAGTAAAAAGAAGAGAATAAAAAACTGGAAAATTTAAAAAGACTAAAAAAAGATAAGTTAAAAATATGGTATTACAAAATTCTAACATGTCTAAGCCCTATCGTTGTTTATAATTGTTTCCTTAGACTAACTTTCAAGGAGGACTGGGTTTCAAGGATTGGCTTACTCAGCCAAGAATATTTTTGCTGTAAGTTGCCAAAAATAGTCTGCAAAATTTTGTAATTCTGTACTGAATGTTTTTTGTTAAACTCTCACATTCATTGTACTATATCCATTTATTTTTGCTAATTTAACAAAAATAGCAATTCACAGCTATTTTAAGGGTTTTTAAAATTATCAATGCTAAAACAAATTTTTTAACATTTCTTTATTATTAAATCTTCCTCCAAATAAAGTCTACTCCTGGCATTTGTCCACCTGACCCTAGGATTTAATGAGGATAGCAGTGTACAAATTCTGTCTTTATATTTCAACTTTAAAATGTGTATTACAATGATTCTGTTGCTTCCTTTTTATCTGTTGTTTCACTTGTTCATTATGCTGAAATATTAGATTTTTATTTAATTGTTCCTGTCTGTCTTTCCCTCTACAGGTCTACTTACTGCTTTAAGGATAAGATGACCTGGGCCTCCCTGGTGGCTTGGGGTTAAGTCTCAGAGTTATCACTGTGATGGCCTAGTTTGATCCCTGGCCAGGAAGCTAACCCACATGGTGCAGCACACCTCTCCTGTCTGGCCTGCTGCTCCCCTTAGCAGTGGATTTCAGCAAATTCACCTGTTCTGCTCCCCATTCTGTCTCTGTTGAATCCTCTCAGCCCCTGTACCTCTGGCCTACACCCCAGTTCTTCTATGCAAAAATAAATTTTAAAAAATTTTTTAATTAGAAAAAGATACAATAATCTTCCACCATTAAGAAGTACTCTAGTTTTTTCTTATTAAGAATTTACTGGGCTAGGTGGTGTGAAAATCTATTTTTACACATTTTCACTTGGATTTATGGGTTATATAGTTGATGATTAAAAGATGTGGGTTTTGTGCAGATTTGGAACAAAGTCTAGGTGTTTTCTCCTCGTGAAGAGCTCTCTTCTTCTCACTTTTACTGAGGCAGCAAGCAATGCAGTGCTGCCGTGCTGACAGGACCATCGTCACCTACTTGTCACTTCTATCAGGAACATACAGAGTCCTCTGACCCCTCTTTTGGCCATTTCCTATCACAGCAGAATCATAGCAGAATTTTTATTATGACATCAAGACTTAATTTTTTTTTTTTTTTAAGGCTTAGGGCTACATTTATTTTTTTAAAGATTTATTTATTTATTTATTTATTTATGCAAGTACTGGGTACAGTCAGAAGCGCGGAAGGGTGAGAGAATTCACCAGAGCCAGAGGGGAGAGCAGAAGGCAGATGGACAAAGTACACTGCTGAGGGGAGCAGCGGGCGGCAGGAGAGGTCTGCGCGCCATGTGGGACCCTCACCGGTGGCCGGGAATTGAACTGGCGCTGCAGAGGCTACAGGCAGCTTCGCAACCCAGCGCTCAACTGCTGCGCCACCGGGGAGGCCCAAGACTTAATATTTAGACACATTTCGACAGATAGTTATCTCTGAAGAATAGATCCCTGAAATCAGAATTCAATGCATAGTATTCTTTAGGTAAAATGAAACATTCTGATAAAACAAGGAAATCTTGCCCATACATTAGAATTCCACTTTCACAAGATCACCTGTTTCCCAACTAATTTTTCGTTAGAGTGTGTCAATGATGTTAAATCACCCCATCTTCCATCACTCCATCAAAAGTACTGCTCCCCAAAAGAACTATTTCCTTACTTATAGTCATAGGTCTTCGTGTGGAACTCTGGTAGACCCAAATATCAGCTAGCTTGTTTATGGGATTACTATAGATGCCCAGATATAGCATCCACTCAAAAAGTAAGTAAAAATATAAGGAAAAGGCCATTTTTGTAAGAATCCCTTCTAAGGGGTAAAAAGACTAAGAAAAGCATTAACAATCACTATTCCTAGCAAAGGCACCCTAACCCCAGCTCTGTACCTTCAGTTCTTGCTTGGGTTCCACATTCTTTATCGTTGTGTAATATACATGGTGGCCATATTGGTAAGCCACCAGGTTCTGCTCCAGGTGATTCTGGGCTGGACGTACGAACATCATCCAGTTACAAAGAGTCTCATCAGACAACTCAAACCACAGGTCTTCATGCAAGTCCCTGTCTTTTCTGTCTCCTTTATCAAGAGAAACCTGCAGCCAAAGAGAAAGTAAAAAGTCATACACACACACACACACACACACACACACACATACACACCCCACATCTGATGTCATAACACAGGAAATACTGCTCCTTAAATTACCCATATATCCTGATTCTTCCCTTTGTATCTAAAAAGATACTGAAATTACATCGTGTTCAATATCAAGGAAAAGGATACTTATAAAAGACTCACCTGTAGGAGAATTACCTGGCAAAACCTAGCAACCTGATTATAGTTTCAGTTGATGTTTCATTATTACCTAACATATTTTTTAATCTGCAAATAAAACAGAAAATGCAAGCAAAATACTCTCCATTTCATTAAACTCACTTCTTTTGGGATTCAACTGCATTTATTTATAATGTATAAGCTGGTGACAGGTATTTCTTTTTACAAAGTAATATTCTTTCTTGGAGATCTTGAGCATTCACCAAAGAAAATCCCCCATAACAGCAGCTGATTTCTCAAAAAAACAAACCCCAAATAGTTTCCCTTCCTTCTGTCCCTTCCTGGTATTCCAGAGTGGTTCTTCAAGAAGCAGGCAATTTTTAAAAAAGCAAAGCAGGTTGGAAAAGAGCAAAAGCACCAAAAGTAAGGAAAAGATATCAGTATGAACATTAACCATACAGTGAACTGCTCATTAACAAGAGTCAACAGGAGAGAGCTGTTTCAAAATTAAAAGGTGTGTTTCCTGAAAGCAGCACTGGCATTTAGCAGATGACATGAGTCTACATAAGTTTCCTTATGTTCCAGTCAAATCTGTTTGTTTGTTTGTTTTTTTAAGTTGTCACAGCCTAAGTGCTGAATTGTGTAGCTCACATTCATATGGTGAAGCCCTAACACCCTCAAAGTTGAAAATGTGACTGCATTTGGAGGCAGGGATTTTCAAAAGAGGTGATTAAGTTAACACAAGTTCATGAGAGTGGGTCCTAATCCAATCTGACTGGCGTCCTAACAAGAGGAGGTTAGGAAACAGAGACACCAGGGGCAACTTTGCAGCAAAGGATGACCACATGCAAAGGCAGCAAGAAAGCAGCCATCTGCAAGGCAAGGCAAGAGGTCTCAGAGGAAACTATCCCCTGCCCAGACCCTTATCTTGACCTTCCGGCCTCCAGATTGTGAGAAAATAAATGTCTGATGTTTAAGCTACCAAGTCTTTGATAATTTGTTTTGGCAGCCCTGACAAACTAATACAGTCCCTGACAACTACACCATTTTTACGCTAGAATTAATCATCTAATGCCCTGGGGCAATGCCCTGAAACTACAGTTTCAGGTGATCTCCATTTCATTGGTAGGAGAAAAAAAGTTTTCACTTAAAACAAATTAAGCAGAGAAAGAATAATATTACCAAACAAGGTGCACGAAATTGAATCAAGAAACTCAGTAGGAAAATGTGTTTTCCTTTAAAAACCACTAAGAACAAGTATGAACTATGATAAATCATAAATTACCTTTAGATGAATATAACAGTCTTTCAGCTCGGACTCTCTGACGAGGGGTCCCTCCACAGGACCAAACTGGGTGCGTTTGGGAATGCGTCTTTTGGAGAACACGCCCCCCAGAAACCTGTCAATGTAGAGGACCAGAGGGAGGCTGGCTCTGGCTCTGGTGAGCACCGGCCGGTTGGGGATAGGGTGCAAGGGGCCATGCTTTGGGCACACTGAAGAATGTGCATTATTACACTCCTCACACCCTGCAAAAGAGCAAAAATTTTGAAGTCAAACTCCAGCTTCACTTATCTCAGGTAATAAGTTCTAACCTGAAAAATCCACAAATTTAAGTTTTAAAGCCAAAATTAAGTGAAGTCCTAGGGTCACACCACCCATTTGATTGTAATACATCAGCTTTCATAGACCAATAAAGCCCTGTCATTTTCCTCTAAAATCAGGCAGAATTATTAGCATATACGTGCCAAAAATAATATGCAGGCTGTGACTTCTTTCTCTACTGGATAGTAATTTGACTAGTGGCCGCTAAATTTACAAGTCAATTATAAAAAGAAGAGAAAAAAGAAGAGCTTATTAGATTAAATGCTACAAAATCTACTGAGACAAAATAGGTGAATCTTATAGTATATAAATTACCCCAAAAGGTATTTAAAAAAAAACTGACAATATTCTTTAATCTGCTCCCTCAAAGGGAGTCATAGAAGCCTCATTGTCTGGGCCTGTCTGACTCAAACAAAGTGCTATACAGTTTGAGGTATCGATGGACACTGTGTGAGGATAAAGTTCAAAGGGATGAATTCAACATCCCAGCCTTCATGCACTTAAATGACACGACCTCACAGGACGTGTATTTCTAGCTCCCTGTAGGAGTGATCAGTTTCACTAACCATTCACATTCACAATCACTCCCTCCTCCCAGTAGTGCCCATCTGTACAGTAGCTGTTAGAACTGAATGTGGACAGACACAAAACAGAGAAAAGTGATTAGACGACCCACAGATCACACTCACGAGCCTCAACAAATTTATTAAACAATCATATTTTATCCCAATCTGGCTGTGTGATGACTTGGATTTTTGATCTCTACAATTCTCCAATAATGGAAAGCTTGTTTGTATTAATACTTATTAGATGAAGTGACTGCCTATTTGACTAAGGAGCTACCTTGAAAACTTAAATCTCAGCACTATCACCGGCCAGGGGGCTAGCCCACATGGTGCAGCAGACCTCTCCTGTTTCTTCCTCAGCAGTGTATTTCAGTAGATCTGCCTGTTCTGTTCCCCACTCTGTCTCTGGTGAATCTTCTCACCTCCCACACCTTTGGCCTGCACCCCAGTTCTTCTATGCAAAAATAAATAAATAAAATCTTTTTTTAAAAAAGAAAGGAAAAAAACTCACACATTCAAAGAAAAGCAAAACAAAGGAATTCTCTATGGGTTCAGGATTGGATGTGAAGCTGAACACTGGCCCCATGCAAACAGGTTTTACCACCACCTCATAGAAGGTGCCAGGAAAAACATGACCAAACCACATATGCTCTGAAGAGCCTCGGTAATTCAAGTAAATGAGATAAGAATTTGGTTGTGGAAGCATGGAAAACAAGCACTGACGTGGCGGGGGTGGAAGCAGGAGCCCCAGAGCCCACAAGCAGGGAACACAAAGGGCTGTGGATATTGTGGTTGACCCTGACACACAGGGTCAGGTCACCTGAGTTTGACACTTGACTCTCACCCCAAGTGAGCATGACCTTGTGGAAACTACCTACATCAGAAGACTGTGGGCCCCCCCCCGGTGGCATAGTGGGTTGAGCACAGCGCTGTAAAGCTGTCCGCAGCCTCTGCAGTGCCGGTTCGATTCCCTGCCAGGCAGGGAGAAACCCACACGGCATGGCAGACCTCTCCTGTCTCGCCTGCTGCTCCCCTCAGCAGTGTATTTCGGACCTTCTACCTGTTCTGCTCCCCGCTGTCTCTGGTGAATTCTCTCACCCTCTCATGCTTCTGGCCTGTACCCAATGCTTGTATAAATAAATCAATCTTAAAAAAAAAAAAAAAAAAAGACTGTGGAGACATTAAATGAGTTAGAAAAAGTGATGTGCTAGTGCCTGAGATAAAGGCGGCATTTTTAAAAGTTACGGTGAAGAGCAGTCATGTCACAAAGCACAATCATTAAAGCTGAAGTGGCTGCATATCCCAGGACTGGACACACTCAGCACAGTGGTTTGGTAGCTGGAGTCCTGGTATCAGAGAGGCCTGGACTCAATGGCTGACCTGCCGCACAGCCCTGTGTGATGCTGAGCAGTCCGCCTTCAGCTCACCAGCACACCAGAACACGGATGTGCCTGCTCAAAGGCTGTGAGGACTGCGTGGGACAGTGCACACCACGTCTGCAGCCAGGAAGCCCCTGGGCAACATGAACTTCGGCCCCGCTCATGCACCCACACAAGGAACAGCTCTCACTTACATAGGTCATGCGGGTCGAAGGGCCGAGGCGGGTCTGGCTCCCAGTCATCCAGGTCTGTGTCCTCCCCCTCATCTTCCTCGTCTTCCTCAGTCTCTTCCTCCTCTTCTTCCTCCTCCTCCTCTTTGGCATCCAGTCTACTCATAGGATTCTGCAGAGTTGCCAAAGGGTCGGAGCCATCCACACTCTCAATTGCAGGTAATACCTGGTTATGCACCGGTAATGAGGCCTGGATAAAGTTTAATCACGAAGTTAGCACATGCTGAAGGCCAGCGAGCTGATACATACACACACAATACAAAGTTTTAGTGGAAGACATTCTTTGCACTAGTTCCCTTGAAGGTTCTGGAGAAGTTATTTCCAATGATAGGCTGCAGCAAAGAGTCTGTCTTCATTTTTGCTGGTCCTGCCCCACATCTGGACAAGCTGATGAGGAAGTCTGGAGTTTTGAACCTTACAAACCCCTGACTGCATGTCAGGAGCCTGGATACTGACCCCAATCCATAACCCCAATAAAGCCTGACACAGCTTTCCTTGCTCTTGCAAATCATCTCACACCTGCTTGAAAGGTCAGCCCTGTCTCCCTGGGGACTTCAAATAAGTAAGTACTTAACTTTCCAAATACTCTTTGTGCAAGTTATGGTATCATTAGTCTCAACCTCACTCAAGGTAGGTTTTGGATGGGTGCCCCACCTGCCTTTGCACTGAAGATTTGATGTATCTTCAACTCCTTCACTCTCACATGCAACACACGACTAGTAAAACTCAATGGTTAACAGTTCTCTTCTACAAGGCCCAATGAGCACCATAAGTCATGCTGAAGCTATGTCCCTTTCCTATCAATAAACAAAGTCTTTTCCTTTTTTCTTTCATCTGCCCATATGTTGTTTTCCTCAGCTTGAATGTTCTTCCCTCCCCAATCTTCTAAATGTTCCAGTTTCTCTATGATCCATCTCTAACAGATATATCTCTCCCCTTTCCCCCAACTCTCTGCTCTGCTCTCCTCCTGTAGCACCTGGAGTCACAGAATCCCATCCACAATATCATTCAGCCTCTGCTTCAACACTTCATCCCCTCCCACAGCAGCCAAGTCATGTTGGGATAGTTCAGTGATGATTTCTGTCGAGTCAAGATCTCCCAGTGGCTACCTTCCAAGCATTGACAAGGACCTACCACTTTCCTCTTGAGTTAGAATGAGTTGAATTCTTCTGCCACAGGAACAAATTTCCTCAAATATTTCAAGACCATATATTTCAAGACCTTAACTCATTTGATTATTTCTCACATGGCCCCATTTCCAGGTCCCGCATCATCTTGTTGTCTTCACTATCTCCCCAGTGGAGTCCAGATTTTTATAAATACAGCATCAGATTGTATGACAGCCACTGATCTACAACTGGTCGGTTCTGAATCTGCAAATAACTAAAATGTCTCAGTTCTTTTTTTCTGTCCCTCCACAGACCGCTATTAAACCATTTTCTCCTGCTGAGGACTTAGATAACTGGTTTTTGCTTAAATGCATAATTTTTGCATTTTATTTTATTTCTCCAGTAAATTTATTTTATTACTTTTCTGTTCTTCCAGTCTGCCAATACCTTTTAAAATCTTGATTCTGATATCTTACACATTAGCTATCCCTTAGATCTTAGGACGCACTGCCAAACACTGTCTAATGTTCAGTTAGCATGAATTTTCACATGAATGAATCTTGCCTCTCCATCTGCACCTCCAAGACCATGGGGTTTGGAGTCAGACAAAATTGGTTAAAATTCTAGCCCCAACTATTTAGCAAGTTAATACATGTCTCTGAACCTCAGGTCTTTTTTTAATCTATAAAATGGACATGGTAATACAGAATTCCTAGGTTTTGTGAGGATTAAATGAAACAATGTACATGAGGTCAGTAGTAGAGTATCTAGCATTTAGTAAGTGCTCAGTATTCATAATAACAGGTTATTATTACCATAAGTTCTTTGAGGACCAAGATGACATCATGTACTTCCTCTACAACCTTAGCAAACAGTTATGAACATGTAGGTACTTAATGAAGATTAGTTTGTGGAAAGATATTTGGCCCTTTGGGAAAAGACATCAATTCCTTTAGGCATCAAAAGGAATTCTGCTGCTATTTGCAGAAACATCCTTTTTCTTTTTTTTAAAATTTTATTTTTATATTCCCCATACAATTGCAACCCCCTTATTTTGACCCCAATCCCTCCTTTCCCTGCCCTCCCATAGTGTGTCTCTGGTTCATAGTTGTTTGTTGATTTTGATTTTTTCTTTCTTATAGTTATTCATTTTCCTGGCCCCTTATTTAGGTTTTCTAGATTCCTGCTATGAGTGAGACCATCCGGTATTTTTCTTTTTCTTTCTGGCTTATTTCACTGAGCATGATCCCTTCCAGCACCATCCATGTTGCTGCAAATTGCATGTGTTTATCTTTTTTTTTTTATATAGAGGCATGTTTTCTTTCTTTCTTTCTTTCTTTGTTTTTGTTTATACATGCACTGGGTACAGTCAGAAGCGCGGGAGGGTGAGAGAATTCACCAGAGCCAGAGCGGAGAGCAGAGCAGGCAGAAGGACCGAAGCACACTGCTGAGGGGAGCAGCGGGCGGCAGGAGAGGTCTGCGCGCCATGTGGGACCCTCCTCCGGTGGCCGGGGAGCAGCCGGGGATCGAACCGGCGCCGCAGAGGCCGCGGGCAGCTTCGCAACCCAGCGCTCAACCGCTGCGCCACCGGGGAGGCCCATGTTTATCTTTTTTGAATGCTGAGTAATATTCCATTGTGTATATGTAACACATCTTCTTGATCCAGTCATCTATTTTGGGGCATCTGGGTTGTTTCCAAAGCTTAGCTATTATAAATAGTGCTAAAACTATTAAGTGCTAATAGCTATTATAAATAGTGCTATAAACATAGGAGTGCAGGTGCTCTTTGGAATTAATGTTTCTGTGTCCTTTGGGTAAATACCTAGGAGTGGAATTGCTGGATCACATGGAAGCCCTATGTTTAGTAGGTTGAGAAATCTCCACACAGCTTTCCATAGTGGTTGGGCCAGTTTGCCACTTTTCTCCACATCCTCACCAACATTTGTTGTTGCTAGTTTTTTTAATATGTGCCATTCTCACTGGTGCGAAATGTATCTCATTGCAGTTTTGATTTGCATTTCCCTGATTTCAAGTGAAGAAACATTCTTTTTCAAGTGTTCATCCAAGTCTAAGAATTTCTTGAGTTCTATATAGAAACAATATCATGGATGTTTTAGTCTGAACTGCTATGGCAGTTAACAACCATCACCCAACATTTGAAACTCTTAGGCTCCAGAAAGCAGATAAAATCAGTTGCCCCAAATAGCATATCCATGTTTTTGCTGTTGTTTTTGTTTGTTTAGGCAAGTGACTTTCAGTTTCCTTTTATAAATTGAAGCACCACTGGCTTATAACATTTATTTATGTATATTTAACACACATTCATTTAACCCAGGAGCTCAGACATTTACATGAAATTCCACCCCTGGAGCTCAGGGCCTTTTAGGAGCTTTATATTGAAGGATAAAATTATTGGAGATGCTTCTGCTTCAGGTTCAACAAAAACAGAATAAAAAGCTCACTGAGGTGAGGACTCCTCAAGGAAAGAGCTGGGGACATCTGGCAATGAAACTGCCTTTGCCACCTCTCCTGTGTAACCTCATCAGCTTCTCACTGCAACAGAGCTACTCAGTTCGCATTTACTGTCTCCGAGAGCAGTTTTCGTATCACCCTTTATTTTAAGTCACTTAAAATTTATGCCAGCCCCAGTAGTAAATGTTATCACACACTGAACTAATCAAAGCATCTCATTCACCTCTACTCCTCACAAATTCCTTATCTCTTTGCAGAGCCAGCCTGAGAGACTGAATTCAGCAATTCAGTTACTCCTGTGAAACTGTGATGCATTTATTTTCCCAACAGATGCTGCTAGAAACTGTGGTTAGGCAAGGTTGATGCTGGCTTTTCGCCACTGCTTAGGAAGCTGACATTAAAATAGTACCAACCACCTTGTCCTCCCCCATGCTGGAACTCTTCTGAAAGACTGGGGCAAAGGAAAGGCTTGAACACTTCAGCAGTATCTTGAAAATTGCATGCCAAAGCAGTGGAACACATACCAGAAGCAATTGTTGAAAAGGGATAAGAATCAGTGAAGAGGTTCACTTGTAGCTAAGAGCTGTGTATATCTAGATATTTCTAGATAGCATAGATATTAACACAACAGACTTGTTCTATAGATTTGTTTAGTTAATAATTCAAACTCAACTGACATGTACTGAATGTCTGGCATATAGCTAACATCCACTGAGGCCACATAGTTCCTAAGCACAGAATTGAAATCCAAGTTCTGCTCTTCCCCCAACATTACAATGGCCCCTGTGGAGTAAGGACTGTTCAGGAAGGGCAATGGAGGAGGTAAACATGACACACACCTTGAATACCCAAGCAACAAGGAAACCACAAAGGCTCCTGAGGCACTAGCCAAGCAGTAGGGCACTATGCCAATTTTACTTAGAGGAAAAGAAAAAAACAGACACTTTAATCCTGTGCATTTTGTCATGCACAATAAAACACGGTAGGAGTGAAAAGAATTTGTCAAACTGATGGTACACTTTTTCCTTCCCACTTAATATCACTGCCTGTAATTATATCTGAAGCTGTATTATGCATTTCAGGATACAATTTATCTGAGAAGTGAAAGATGAAACTCCACTGGACAGCAGCAAACACAACAGAATGCTCCTGGATTCCTACTGAGACCAATTACCAGTGCACATATTTTCTTCTCAGTGTGTGGGGAGTCACACATGCTCATTTTCAGAAACAAAGAAGGGAACCGTGTTTCTGGGTCTGGAAGGGATGCATAGATGAATAAGGCTGCAAAAGAATTTTGCCACCATTGAAAACAGGACCCTTTTTGCTAAGGGGATAAAGAAACATCTATCATTTGTGTTAAGCCCTCACTCCAACTTTCTTTCCAGAATTTATCCCAGTCACAGAATAAACTGACAGTCACTGAAATGTCATAGCCTGAAATGAAAAACGTGCCTGTTGAAAGATAACAGCAATCAAGAAAGATGTTCGGCCAATAGTTTACTGCCTTGTAAGGTCAGGTTCACAGAGCTACTGAATACAGCTTTGCTTTGGTGCAAAACAAGGCACAAGCAAATTATTTCTGGAGATTGGAGAAGATGAAGGGCCC